ACCTATCTGTTGTTTACCACCTTGAATAATTGATTGTTTACCACTCTCAGCTCTTGTTTCATTAGCCTAGCTGTTGTTTACCACCCTTAATACTTGTTTACCACCCTTAATACTTGTTTACCGCCCTTAATTCTTGTTTACCACTCACAATTCTTGTTGACCACACTCAGCTCTTGTTTCATTAACATAGCTGTTGTTCACCACACCCAGGTCTTGTTTGCCACCCACAATTCTTGTTTGACACCCTAAGCTCTTGTTTGCCACCCTAAGCTCTTGTTCACCTACTTAGTTGTTGTTTACCATCCTCAGCTATTGTTCACCACCCTGGGTTATTTTTACCACCCTAGCTGTTGTTTACCACCCGTAGGTCTAGTTTAACAGTCACAATTCTTGTTTACCAACCTACATTTGTTTACCACTTCCAGCTCTTGTTGACCACCCTCAGCTCTTGTTTACCACCCCAATACTTGTTTACCACTCGCAATTCTTGTTTGCCAACCTCAACTTTTGTTAACCACCTTAAGCTCTTGTTCACCAGCCGATGCTCTTGTTGCTGTTAACCACCCTCGGCTCTTGTTTACCACCCTAGATGTTATTGATTAACCCAGCTCCCGTTTACTACCCAAAAACGTTTACTGCCTTCAGCTCTTGTTTACCACCCTCGGTCTTTGTTCACCACTCGTAGGTCTAGTTTACCACCCGCAGTTCTTGTTTACCACTTCCAGCTCTTGTTCACCACCCTCACATCTTGTATACCACCCCAATATTTGTTTACCACTCACAATTCTTGTGTACCACCGACAATTCTTGTTAACCACCCTAAGGTCTTTTTTACCACCCTCAGCTTTTGTTCCAGCTTTCTTAAACTAATAGGGAATGTCAGGAATTCGCGTTTTTGGGAATCTGATTCTAAAAATCTTCAAAGTGTGGGATCTCCCACGCACTATATAAAAAATCCTTAAATTTGCCGGGAAATGTCAAGAAAAAGCGCTTCCGGGCTTAAAAAAAAACAAATGCAGATCCACGTGAGGTTTGTAGGTGACATGAATATCGAGACTAAATTTCATAGAAGTGATTCAAAAAAGTGGTGGCCAAATAGACTTTACACCGGTTGACTATAAATAGCCATCCTATGGGACAGCGATTATCAATTATAAGTAGATGTTATTTTCGTACATTTTTCTGAAAGGAATTGCAAAAAAGCGTTTCTAATGAACATAAAAAAACATTATAATGCATGTAACGCTATAGCCTTCACAGCTAATAATGTCAGTCTCTAGAGAAATTAAAGTTTTAAAAACGGGTGGCAAATAAAAAATGAGGGTGGCGAATAATTGTTTGCCACCCGGGTGGCGAATATCCTCGGCCTTCTTTTAGTTCTGTACAAGATTTTGTACAGCCCTCTTTGAGTCTTTCATCCTTATCTTTTGTCTCACTTCTCAGATTTACTTTTAACAATGTGACTGAATTTGTAACCAGTAATAACTATCCTGAAATGTCAACAATTGCCGTCTATTCATCATATAGTGTCATCTAACTGAAAGCTTTTGCTACAACAGTTCTAGTACTCAGCTTCATCATAAATTTCTGTTGAAATTGTTAGCTAAGTCTGTTTATAATTGTGATAAATTTTTCATTTTACCTAGACTGAACTGAATTTCATTTTAATTTAATGTAATGTTGAAAGCACTGACATGTATAAAAAATACCCTTTATTCTTAAAGACATCACCTGCTCTTGGTGTAAAGGCATTTGAAATCTAAAATCTATCTTAGATAGAGGTTCTCTTTTCTAATAAGTGATGAACAGTAATCACTTTGTTTCAAAATATTTTCATCTCACCAGAAGCAGAATTTATAAATAATTTTTATCATATTTTAAATGGAATGGATGTTTCTTGTATTTACTGAGGGTTATGAAATTGTTCAATCGAATTTTTCACCGCTGTGTTACAAATTTTGAATAAAATAAACTATTTAGCACACATTCAAGGATAACTGGAGAAAAGTTTTTTCAGAATCCTTTTTTGTTTTATACCAAATATTTTAAAGTTAGACTGCACCTTGATTTACTTACACTAGTATAAAGATCAGATCAATGAGCTATTGGTTTATAACTGATCCTATACAAATAGTCCTAATAACTATCTTTTGTTCAGTATTTATTAAACCATTTTGAACAGTTAGTCAATGGACAATAGAATATATTGTATTGACTCTTACAAATCAAAGTGAGAAGCATTTTGTTTGAAGATCGAATCTAACATATTTACTCTAATAACTGCTCTGATTTGATTTGTGATTGACAGGACTAATATTATTGTATCATGAATTTTATTTTGAATAATTTGTCATCTATGTTTCAATTGAAGAAAATGGTAAAAAAAATAATTCTTTCCTTATGATATGCATTGCTTTTCTTATCTTTCTGTAAAAACATAAAACTCATTCAAGCTATAAAATGGAAATAAAACACAACCTACAGCTCTATAAAGCTTTAACAATCATAAGTTTATAAGATAAAGTAAGGTATTGAAGTAAAAAGCATAATGATATAGATATGATATATATACCAGCTACCAGCATGGTGAAATAGTTCTCTATAGTCTAATGGTACCTATAGTAACTTATACTATTTACTTTTCTAGTTAATAACCAATCATAAATCATCAAAAATCAAAGTTTTACCTTGTTCCGAATATTTTGAATATATTGAAATTTCAGATGATGGATTTATAAAAGGAAATTACCTTAGAATGAGTTGAAGGTATGTATTGAAAATATTTTATAAAGAATATAAAATAAAGACTAAATAGCATAAATGTTTGATAATCTTATTCTTTTTAGACTCTTGTTTACAGTTTTGATTTTTCCAAAGAATCTAGATCTAAAGAAATTTTTTAAAAACTGTGAATTTGGAAAATCAAGAGAGGATTATTATGTTTAGGATAAAAGAATTAATTGTGGGACAGATTGTTTAATTTGAGGTTTCACATGTGAAGTTGGGTCTCAGTATGATTATCTCAATTTATTATCTTCATTCAGTTATTTTGTCTATTTGGGATGAAATATCATTGTTATTGTAGATCTAAAGAATAAGAATGGGTATAGAACAGAAGACGTTAGATTTCGAAGTAGAGATACATGATGCCCAGTTTAATCATCAGGGACGTTATTTTATGAAACTGTCCATCCAAAGTTTACATACTAGAGATTATTCAGCAATACAACTAAAGAAACCATTAACTACTGAATATGTCTTTGATAATGAAGGTTTGACAGATGTCACTCTACAAAATGGCAGTAATGAGTTGGTCACATTTAAAGAACGGAGATTCATTTTCAGATTACCCAAAGGTATCTTAATTTTTTGTTCAGAAAGTCATTTCAATTCGAAAATAAATGATATTCTCATGGTTCAGAAATGAAATATTGCTTAAACCAAGGAAGATTGTTTTCACCAATATCCCTTTACTTGAAGATTATCTCCAACATAGGGCCTACCTGTAAATCTGAGTCAGAAATTCAGAAAAAAAATATGATGTTTTAATTGTTTTAACATTACTTTCAAGCAATTTCATTCTTTGTCTTGGTATTGAATTTATAGACCTAAACTTTTGATATTTTTTTTTATTAACGTTTTATTATTAACTGAATGTTTTGAAATATTACTGATTTACTATCAGTTATTATCTTCAAAGTTATTTATTATAAAAAGTAAATATGTTGATTCAACCTTTTGGTCTTGTAATAAAACCATGAGAGGACTTGAAATATATTAAACTATAGATTTATATTGCCTTTATAACTTTAAAAGGATAGAAAGTTTTTGTATTCCTATTTCATTGAACAGAAGGTATTCACAAATTACAATTTACCAATTCATTGACCTGCAAAGAGTGAAGCATCAAAATTTAAAATTGTAGGAATAGGTCCAAAGTTACGTTAAAGTTGCAAATAGTTTAGCATCATCTTATCAGTGTAATTTGCCAAATTTTGCTACAAAAAATGTTCCTAACATGGAATATTTTATACTTTTTTTCAGGATTTTGTAAGAATGATAAGAACCATGATGTCTATCTGTTACTGGAAGCCTTTACATTACCTGACAATGATGAAGATGTTGGTAAGAAGGTTGGGGAGGGGAAGTTCGCTATCTACCCTAGAACTAATGCTCCAAGGATTAACATGAATGTAGAAGTTAATGAGAATATGTATCATTACACGGAAATTATATCATTACTACGAACATTATCAACTGATAGTGCTACAATGCATTGTGGGAGATTACGCATCACATTTTCATTAAGGGAGATAATTCCGCCTAAAAATCGTAAAACTCCCATACCAGATCCTACACCTCAGCCTTCACCGAGATACGTAGCAGTTACAGATAGATCAGAGAAAAAGAAAATCGAGTTAAGAACACCCAATGAATATCCTACACCTAGATCAGAAAGACGAGCTCCTCCTGCACGACCCATCACACAACATCAACCTCAACCAAGACCCTCCCCGGTGTTAAAAAGAGCCTCACCAATAGAAACATGGGGTGATGATCTTTCTCTTAAGTTACCTAAAACACCCCCACCTCCACCTCCAGATACTAGAAGGGTAAGTCTGATTTATTTTGTTACAGGAAGTAAATTTCTTTCCCAATTTCGTCAGATCTCAGAAATGTTCAAAATTGATTAATTTTACTGCCATTCCAAACAATTTAATTTCTTCTGTGGGCTTTATATACTCAGTATATTAGCTTGACAGTTAATAATTTGGAACTTAAAAGAAGCAATATAGTAGAAGAATATTAAATAAACATCCAATAGACATATTATATCCAATAAGATAGCTATCTACTCTAAAATAAACTAGATAACCTTTTATGATCTTCATTAGGGAGAGTTCCTTAGTGATTAATCCTTAGTTTACAGTTTTATTTCTACATGGTAGACTATCTAGGTTCAAATACAACCTAAGATTATTGAAATTATTAAGGAATATTTGTGGTCAGTGGGTTCTAGTAGTACTAGTGTGTTATGTAAAGTTACCAGTGTTTGACCAAGGGTCAAGAATAGTAAAAATTTGAAGGTAATCAAAATATGTCTGATGTTTTGATACATAACTATATGAAGTAAACAAGTAAATCTATCTGTAATAAGATTATTGAGAGCTATATTTAGATCTTTAGATTATCAGATATCTCTTACCACTTGTTTTAAACAACAGTGTAGTCTATTATACTTAATGATTTTGATACATGTTAAATAAAACTTTAAAGGGATAATATTGTGTTAGGCCTAGGCCTTGTATCATGAGAGTGAAGGTAACAAGTTGCTATTCAACTGACACTGTTTTAATTCTGTGTAAACTAGTTACTAGTGTTAATCTTTATAATGTTGAAATGGAATTCATAATACTTCTAACATAGACCAGTCTATTTATAAAGATACTATGTTGAAGCCTTTGTCAAATGCAATTTACTGGATACTACTATAAAGTACAAAAATATGGTTCATTTTCCATCATAAAGATCATAAAAGCCTTTTGTCAGAGCCAAGGAAAAGTCAGTAAAAGTCAAAAGGCATGAACACAGAATTGATGAGCCTTTTCACACATTCTATTTATTTTGATATTTCAGATGACCGAATCTCCAAGATCTAAAGCTGACCAGTCAACGTTCCGAGCTAATGGTGAAAACTGGCGCCATGTTTCTCAGACTGGTAAAGAACAGATTGATATTATACTACATGGTGCCAGTTCCTTACCCTCAGTCCAGAAAGGGAGACCACCTCATCCATATGCTTCAATGTATGTTGCTTTACTATAATCTTAACTTCCAATATAAGGATGGTAGTGTTGAAACGGTTAGTGAATTTTACGAGCTGGGTTATCGTCGGCAATAACCGTTTGTTACCCGGTTAATTACTAAAGATTGTAAAATGAGTCAAAAACCGCATTTGCGGCAGTAACTCACCGTTAACTAAACTAGAGTAAGTGTAAATGAGTACACAGGATTGTTTTGGTTAGTTCCCCGCGAATTGTCAGTACAAATCGACAGATACCAAACAACCCATTGAAGCAGGCGTTTGCTTCAATGTAAGATTACAAGGGGGCCTGAAAGAGTTCAGACGGACTGGCGCCATTGTCACTCATTGCTACAGTCTATAACAGATCAAAGGATTTTAAACCAGTTGTGGGGGTCAGTGTAATGAGTGTATCTCATTGAAGTCATAGCAAATCAGTGTACTGGTTCCACAAAGGGTATAAAACTATTGTCTCAATGAATCCGTACTCATGAATATTAATAAGCTTGAAGCTGATTGACAGGCAAGAAGAAACAGCCAATTAGAGGAGAGTTATTTAAAAGTAATACGATCTTTATAACTGTTTTATTCTAACTACTCGATTGAAATAATAAAAATAATACCAAGACTTATCAAAACACTAGAACATGCTTTAAAAACAATGTGTTACATTTCTACAAAACAATGAAAAAAATGACAAGATTCAACGAACTGTGGCGCGTGCCGAACGTCTGGTTACAGTGCTACAGACAGTGCTTATTTGTATAACCTAATTATCATAACGGTTGACAAACTAAAACCATCGTGACGCGATTATCCAGAATGTGTAATTAGTTGAACCTATATCAAAAAAAGAGGCTTGATAATCTTGACCACAATTCTTGCAACTCGTTAGTGTTTTGATAATTGATACTGTATCTTGATTTATTAATCTCAATTATTCAATCAATAAAGATGTTTATTTACTAAAAAAAACAGCTTAAAGACTCATACAGTCTGTCAAAATTGCTCCCTTTTTACTTCTTATAAAATTGACGGTTAACCGATTATCTCAAATCAGACGGTTATCCGTGAAATACTACCCAAAATCGGTTAACTGATTAACCGTTTCAACACTAGGATGCCCTGTGATTTTTCTCTTGATTGTCTGATTGTTAATTTAAGTATAGGTTAAGATATTCCTTTGGGATTGTCGAATGCAGTTGCTCATTGTTAGTTATGTTGATCATTTGAAAGAAACAACACAAAAAACAAAACAGGAAGATTAGAAACTGAAGGGGTGAAATAGAAAAGGGGTGGTAAGGGAAGTTGTTATGCATGTCAAAAATGTTTTGACTGTTGAATACTTCTTTATAGTTCCATACTTTTGTAATCTCTACAGAAGAATATTGAATATTGGTTTATTTTGTTCCAGCAAAACTAAGTCTACCTATAATAAAAATGATGCTACTACAATCAAAACCCATTCTACAGCTCGTCCAACAGCTGCACCATCTTGGGAAGAAATGTTGTCAGTAGAAATTGATGAACAGAAATCAAACAGTGAAGGTATTTAACAGGGAATTATTGTTTTGTGTCTTATTTTAATTTATATAGCATAGTCATGAAGTAAACTTTCAAATTGTCAATTTTCAACAACAAGAATGGTGTCTGTCATATTTTTAGATACAAAAACATATCAGGAATATAATGATACTTTCGTCAGATATTTTTTACCACAGTTTTAAACCAAGCTGAAACATAATCCTACTGCCATTTTATCAGCGATATTATCTTCCTTGACACAAATCTGAATATCTGTTGAATATATTTCAGCTTTAGTGATGACTGTGGGGGATTCAGCTAGTAAAAGTCGTTTAGTTAATTATGAATTACCAATTAATCATCTTCAACCCTTTCATCAATACCATCTAGAACTGGTCACTGTAAGTAGTTTTCAGTTACTATGGTTAAATATTTTGAAATGAATTCTGTTTGTTTGCCTCTAAAATTAGCCATTTTTAAACGAATTTATATCGGAATGCATATCACTCATCTCAGTTCTCTATTTGGAATATTCTAGAGAAATTTTTTATAATTGTTAAATTTGTTTGTAAGTGATATTATTCATTGAAATTATGTAAAATTCTATGTTTTTTTCTTCCAGCCACATAAAGAGAAGACTGATGGAGTAAGAATGTATGCTAGTATTATGAGAAAATTAAATAAATTACCATTACATCAATCATCACCTAATTATCTTGGTTTAGAGGTTAGCTAAGTACCTTGTAATGATTAAACAAAATTTCTAAAATGTTCCAGAAGGAGACCTATATGAGCATATATTTCTGTTGAAATCCTAAATGATATATTAAAACTTCTTATTTAGTGTTTTTTCCCTAAGGACTTCATTTGTCTTGATTCCACTGAATGTCCTTGGCAGACATATTTTTTATCACTATTTTATGATATTTAGGCTCATCTACAGTCAGTGAAATACCCAATTATAAACCCAATGGGACCGTTGATAGCAGTAGCTAGAATAGTACCTGATTATTATAATTATAGGTAGATATTATTTTATTTTACTTATTTCATTTAAATATCAAGCTGACAAAGGATCATCTAATGTTGCTGCCACTAATTGAAATATAAAAATTCTCATCAGGGTTGTAAATGAGGTCAATGTTCCAACAGAATATCAACCGAATTCATTCAACAAGAGTGAGCAAGACTCAATTCAATTTTTGATCCAGTATGTTTAGATTTTAGAAAAAAAACTTTACACCTTCATTTTTGTATCCCAAAACATGTTTGGAATCCTCAGTATTCTTAGTGAATGTCTCAGTCCCATTCAATTCCTACTAGTTCTGATATCTTTATTCCTCTTTCAGATCCGATAATCTGCTGCCCCACCCTAGAACAGCTGGTGTTAATATGACTAGTGTCACATTCCCTCAACCTCATCCTTCTTCATTTAAAGTTCCTGAAAAATCTTCACAAGGCTATCCTCAGGTACAGACCTTTCCCTTTCTTTCTTCATATACTCAAATCAGATAATAAATTTACCATACATATATGGAGGTAAATTCTGATTTTTTTTTAATTCCAGAATAATTTGCCTTTTCATTTAGAATTAAAAGAACTAAGAGCTTAATTTGAAATGTAGAATTAATTATTAATCATTCTACAAAATCTGCATAGAAATCTATACTTAATGATGTACAAAACATGAATAGTACTAAAATTCTGTGATTGTTCACAAATATCTAATTTTAATTATTTAACATATCAATATATTTGAACCTCAATCATTTATTGAGATTCATACTTGTGTGACCTTGACTCATTGTCACGGGAAAAAATTACAAATGATGGTTAATTCAAAAATGACTTTGAAGATTATAAATTGTAAAAATGAGGCCTGCATTAAAGAAATATTGTAAAAAATTTTCATGTTAGTGTAAGTGAGGTGATATGTGGAATATGCCTTGATATCACTATTTTGGTGTCTGTGTTATGCCATCTCCAACCCCTATATTTCGTCAACAAGAGGTGCGCATTATATACGGGTAAATGGGTTTTTCCAGATTTTGATGGGATGCACATTATACACGCTTGCGCATTATATTCGGAAATATACGGTAGTTTAATTTATATTATAGATAAGTTTACCTGGTCGTCCTGATGAACAGCCAACCTGGAATCATCCCTATTTATTTTCTGAAGAGAAAGATAAAGCTACATTATTTACTCCTAGTGCAGCTCTAGTAATAGAATATTATGTTGCTAATAAAGGTACAAATATATCTAATATTATACTATTTACTGATATGTGTAACCTACAGTTTTGGTTGTAGCGTTCATATGTAGTTTTTTTGTTGTTGATAAACCCATACAGATTAAATATCAGAATTCAAAATGTTGGTCTTTCTTCAAAGTGGACAATCTTGTTATGTTTGAAGCTAAGGAACTCTTGGATTAGATGTTAAAATCATCTGAATTCGGTTGCATTTTTTTGTGTATGTAAATTTTTTTAATGAATTGACATTGTAGCAATGAATGACCAGTTTTGGAGAATGGAGAGTCCTGTAGGATTTTCATCATTATTATTAGATCATAGTATGTATACACAGTTAATACAAGATGAGGCTAGAATGGGACTACGTATTGAAGGTCTTCCTATACAGGTATGTTGCGTATATTTAACATGCTTATTTCACGATAAAGTGCTTGAGTTTAGAGACCTTAGTAGCTGACAGATACTTGGAACATCTGGGAACATTTCCAAATTATAACAAGAGCTGTCTATTTCTGTTTGAATCGCAATAGCCATCACCCCTGCTTGTCCATTCATGTGTCGTGGGCAATATTTCTAGTAGAGATGACAGAGACTACATGTACACTGTGATGATTTTTAATTTGAATAATATCCCTCGCTGATTGTTGCCTAATGTTTAATGCTTTTGAATTATTATCTGGCCCATTCCATTTGTGTGTCCTACAGTTGACCATGATCTGATTTTTGATATTAATTAGGGTAGTAATATGATAACAGTTGGTAATACAACCCCTACAGTTGGTGTAATAGTAAGACTTATTACTACTGATGTGAGTATATTTATACTATATATTCATCACTTTCAATTTCATTTTCTTCAGCACTCAGTTAAACTGTTTCATTCCCTTCCTTGTTTTCTGTAGTATCAAGAAACGTTTTGAGAAATAGGTCCCTTGCTCTTGCTGTGCATGATATATCAAATTGTTGTTTTGTATGCAATAAAATGTCTAGTGAAGATTTAAAATCAGCAGTATTTCCATTCGTTGTGTGATAGCTTCAGCAAAGAGGTCCTGCTTGGACTGTTGATTTCGCTGTATTGAGCAGTCGTTTCAGAATGGAGCACCACCATATCTATCAGTGATTCTTCCAATATGTCTCTGTTTCAGCAACCCAATACAATGATTTCTTACAAGAACATTGATAACTTACCACTGATAGACCTCAACCCAGCTGATCCTTCTAGAGTTAAATCAGCAGAGAAAGCTGATGTCTTAACTGTCACTCATACCCCGCCCCCTCAATCACAGACTCCGCCCCCAGATAATACAGAGGAAACACCAAGGAGAAGACAAGGACGATGGGTTTTAGAGAAACGATCTAAAAAAGGTCTTAATGTAAGTATAATTTTCTCTAATTATGTTATTGAAATAAAGATTTGAAGAATTGTGTGTTGTTATTTTACCATTCTATACTAATTCAGTCTGATTATCATCTGCTCCAGTCTTAAAATCTAGATCAACTCGTGAGAAAAAGTTCAGGTAATATTGCTTACATTTAGAGCATTAAAAAAATCTTTATATCCAGATTTTCACAAGCCTTCAACCTCAATCCATATCCATATTCTAGTCATTAATGAATAATAACTAAGGACTTATACACTGTGAACATTCCGTCTGTTTTTGTAGAAATTGGTAAACATGTCATTATCATATGCCATGCATAGAGTGTTAGAACTTTTGCAACATTCGCTTGTCTCAAGTCTGGTGACTTTTTATTAGTCGTCCCAGCTATAATTGGGAAAGATTAGTGTCAAGAGGTTAGGAAAAAACCAACAAGTAGACTGGATCCTTGAGAAATTGAATTGGTATCTTAAAAATTTGTTTCTTTTCTATCTTTCCTGTGAATATAATAGGTGAAAGGTTATTATATTTTCTAACGTTATAAACTCTCATCTGAATCATATGAATTTAACTATAATATCAAAGTCACCTAAATGCTCATTTAATAACATTATGTAACTTTTTGATTATACCTTTGTTGGGAAACAATAAGTGTAAGATCTTCTATATATTTAATTATGTTAATGATTCTAATAACATATAATAATAACCCATTTCATATCAATATCGGTTAGTTAGCCAGTTAATAGCAATTATCCAGATATAAACATAAAAATTCACAATACAGAACAGCCTTTTATTTATAGCTACTTCTGTACAAAGTTGTTTTAACTTAACCCCTTTTAGGATATTACCATTAGATATTGACATATACTGAATATAATAGATAGCTAATAGTTAGCCCTATTCTACCCCATATATATACACCTGGTTGCTTAGTAACATAACAACATTCATATATACCTTTTTACTTTGTACATGTCTTCTTATCTTGTCTTGGTCAAAGTTGAACTTTAACTTTTTAAAACTTTGGAAATTATTTTCAAAAGTTATTGAAAGTGTACCTGAGTGAATGTTCAGAGGATTATTGGGATTAAGAATGTAGAGGATTAAGAGAGATTATCCTAGTTTTGTCTAAGTAATGTGTGTGTTATGTTGAACAATAAATAGTGGTATATTCAGTGAATAATAGACAATATGGCTACCAAATACTATAGACCTTATACACAATCGGTATGTTTTTCTTAATTTGAATACATCAATTTCTTTCAAATTGAATTTGAATTGTTAAAAAAGTGGTCTAAGCATTTACTGAAATGATTGGGATTTGGTTGAATAGGATAATGTTCTCTTTGTCAAATGTATTTGTATTCCCTGGAAGATAAAAAATTTAAAATATGATTGAAAGAGAGTCAGGTAATAAAGAAAAGATATTTTCTCTTTAAAGAGAGAGCATAAAAGAGAGAGAGAGAGTGCTAAATAAATCAGAACATACTCCCATATTAAATAACTAGGGTTCATATTCACACAGAATAGGACTGAATTTAAAGAATGTCAGGATCTATAAAGATTGAATTCAAATTTTTGAGAAAACTGTCCTTTATTTTGACCTGTTACAAAAGTATTGTAGTTACACAGTTTTCAATTTGATGAACATTTTCAGCTGGGTATTAGTTGAGAAATATAATGAGAATTCTGTAAGAAACTGAGAAGAATATTAATGGCAATATGAAGATTCATTAGTTTAGAAATCAGTTGTTAGTGACAGGGCAATATTGATTATATTGTTATATATTACACCTTTATATTGATTATAAATGTTGACTAGACCAGTTAATGATTTTGATTTAGTATATTTTCCTCATTACCTGATTTTAGTAGCCCAATAAGCTCCACTTAACTTTATTTGATTCTTTTAAGACAATTTGATCAAATTTTAACCTAAACTAAATTTGTGGATATATAATCAAAATCCTGTTCTCATAAATCACATTTGTATAATATGATATACAATAATACAATATTTTCACTGTTACAATGTATATTACAGATGAAAGATGGAGAGATGCCACCATATGATGCTATGGATTCTATCTTACCAGAATATGAGTATATATATAAAGATGATGGACAGGGACCAGTTATAACATCTACAGAGAAAACTACCAATCTACATGTTGTTCAGACTAATGATCAGTTACCTAGTGTGTTAGTATTTTAATTTCTAATACTATAACAACATATTTTCATTGTTAAAACAGTGCTCAATACATCAATTGTAGAGCGATAAAAGAAATATTAATACAGAATCTAAAAAAACATGTTGTTACTTAGAGTTTCACGCTATGCGATATTCAGACAACTCTTAAGTCTGAAGATCGCATAGCGTGAAATTCTGACTAACATGTTTTTTTAGGTTCTGTTTTAATATTTCTTCTTATTTCTCCTACTAAATATTTCTCTTGTCTAGCTGGTTAGCAGCACAAAATCAGCTAAAAACTTCATATGCTTTCAAGGTTCAGAACAATTTTTTATAAACTAAACATCGTCTGGCTGATTGTGAACATTTCACTTTCAAGGTCTTAAATTTCTCAAATAAGAATCAAAAGAAGTCTTTTATATGAAAATAAAAAAAATTGATTTGAAGTAATATGTTTATATGTAGTGTGGGTTAATAATTTCAGGTCGAGTAAAATTTACCACTACTCTGATCCAGATTATACCAATGTTATAGAAAGACAAGATCAAGAATTAACTAATTATAGATCTCAGTTACGAAGAATGGGAGATGATATTGTAGAGTTACGTACAACATTAGGCAATTATGAAACGGTACAGAGTAATAATCGACGTGATGATACCACCAAGTTATTAATAGATGCTAGAGAAATGGATGGTTTACCTAAAGCAGATATCATGACTAGATATGGTATGTTTTTATAATGGCATACCGGTACTACCTCTTAGAATGAACATCAGATTGAAATTCTCAATGGCCAATTAGAGCATATTCATCAGTGGACTGTGGTACTGTACAGAATCCCTCTATAATCCTATCAATCCATAAAACTATGAGTAATTATGCATAAGACTACAAGTAATTATTGACAAATGCTCAAAAATTTTACTTCAATATTTTTAATGCTCAATTTAGCCTGATGCAGTACAAAATACATTTAAACTGTTAAATAACTTTAGCTAGGTATCATTTCTCTTAAATCTCAAAATAGATATTCCACCATATTATGTATATCAATGAATTCTGGTTTTAATGACTCTCATTGTTGTATTTCTAGCTCAATTAAAACAGAAGTTAGCTTTTACCTATACAGAGTTAAAATCTTATAAAGATAAAGTTCAAAGATTACAAAATGAACTCATTAAGGTAAGTTGATTTAAATATATTTTCTCCAGTAAATTTTGAAGTAACGTTTCTCTGAAAAAAAATGAGTAGAAAGTTTTGATATGAAGGGTTTATAGAGGGAAAAAGTTAGCAAGTGATCTTACAAGTTTGTTCTGTATTACATTAATAAAATTGATCAATTTATAAATTATTTTATTTGTCTTTCAGAAAAATGATCAACAAAAGGATTTCTTAAAATTACATCATGCACATACCGGCCAACAAGAGTTATTACAGAAATTACAATCTAAAGCTCAGCTTATCAAGAAATTAGAAGATACAATCAGAAAACAAGAACGTGTTATAGATAAATTAGAGAGAGCATTAGATAGAAAATATGGTCATGGTAAAACACGTAAGTTATTTATTTATTACTATTAATTCTCACTTTATAAAGAGTGGTTTGAATGATCTTATATGACAAGGCGAAATCATGTTCTTGATCTTGGAGTTATTATCATGATTTAACTCCTCATAAAAATTCAGTTTTCAAAGATCATCAAAAATTACATTGAAAGAAATATTAATAAGAAGGAAATCTGATTGTATTTGCAGCTATACCAAGTAACAATGCTGGTGAAATTAATTCTACATTAAGTGCTGAAAATAGACACCTTCGACAACAAATAGAAGATCTCAAGGTATTTTCATTTCCATTCAGATGTTAACAATTTATATGGTGCTTTGAAATAATATTAACTTCATTGATAACTCTGAATCCTTAGTCCTTGTTCACACTATGTTTCATGATTGGTTACTGATAAATACTCAAGTCATTGTTATTGCAATTTTCAATGGTATAGATGTAATTTAAAATGAACATGGAAATTCTTTTGACTTTCAGGAACAACTGAGACTAGGAGGTAAAAGTAATAATGATGATTTAGAAAAATTAGAATTATATCAGGCATTAGAAAGAGCAGAGGGCAGAATAATGTCTTTAGAACGTCAGGTAAGGGTTGTTTCCCATGGCACACTTTTTGATTTTCTAAACTTAAAATTCTCATTTATTTGTCATACTGCAAGTGTTGGATTTGTACATTAAAACAATTAATTCATGAATTTCTTAATTATGATTCAATAGCACAATCGAAAGCTACAGAAATGTGGAAATTAGCTGTCAATATTTGGAAATTATCTCCCTTTACACTTAAACCTTAGTCACCAAATTTGAAATTTTTAATCTGAGAAGGCAAATAAGATACTGTAGCAACAAAATAAATTTCCCTGGAAATATTGAACTGGACTCTAAGAGTTATAAAACCCTTTATATGATATTGTGTTTATTTTAACAGTTGACAGAGAATGCTAGATATTGGGGTAAAGAGAAAGCTGATCTATCTATTAGAGCTAATGAAATAGAGAGAGGTTTTAGACATGGAGCTGGTATGATATTACATGACTACCCTGTACTTGTAAGTATATAGTATTCTCATAATACACCGTTATTTATTAAATCAAAACATAACATAGAACAGTGGCCTTTTTTTCAAAACTTTAACTTTAGATGAGTGTTCTCTCATCTGATTTAATATTTAGTTTCATTATCTAATTATATCATTAGATATTTTTTAAAATTGTGATATTATCTTAATTAAAGTTTCAAAATAAGGGCTCTGATTTGCTTTGATTATTACGTAAATTATCTTTAAAAAACAAGGTGGCATATTCTGGAAACGATCTTAGAGCTAGGATGTCCTAGGTTCTTATCATCAAACATTGATTCTAGGACATCCTAATGCTAAGATTGTTTCAAAAATATAGGGAAAGGATTTCTAGTTTTAATATTTTAAATCATCCCCAATTTGCTTGTTTATCTTGCAAGTTTGCAATTCACCATATACTATTCTTATCATATATTTTCTACATTATAGGAAGAGATATGTTCTCGACCAATTAGAAAGACATGCTTGGACCCAATACACTGAACATTATACTATCAGATTAGAAATATCAAGTCTCCAGCATTCTAAATCTTAGTACTTCTACCATGTGCTCTGTGATAACCATTATTTATTTTCTATTTGTTAATGTTGTTTTGTTAATGAAAGCTGTCTGTGATAAATGTGAATGCAATGTACAAAACACATACATGAAGCACAAGTACACAGATCATACTGGAATAGGGTAGAAGGGGTATATTTAGTAAGATTATTCACTGCCTATCGTGTGAATTTAGTTGAAATTTTTTGGTTATTAAAATAGAAGTATGGGGAGTGGAATCAGACATTTAAATCTTGCTCCTCCAATGTCATCTTTTTAGCAACAAAATTTCCAAACTTTAGTATAGTCATTTTGATAATGTTAGTCAAACTGTACATATTGTATGTTTTACCTTGCTTGTATTATAAAACAAATAAAGTACCTGTGTAAGTTATATGTCAAGAAGCAGTAAATGCGGACTTCTAAATATATATACAAATATACAAAATACTTTGAAGTGGAATCACAAGTAGCCTACAACAGTGCATTGGGACCATAATTTCACGATTAAAAATAATTATGTTTAGTAAAGTGTTCACTCAGCAACAATATGTATCATTTGGGAGTCATATTTTTTTACACTGCTCCATTTGAAAATGTCACACAGAGGTTAAAAAGTTCAGGATATATATCCACCCTGCTGTGTCATCTGGATTCAAACAATCAGTTCAAAGGTATACAAAACTTGTTACATTCAGAAAGTGTAAGTTATATAATTTGGTGCACAATATATTTATCTAAAGCTATGTATAATAAAATTCCTGTATAAATGTATATATACACAATAAAGTCTCAAAATATATTTTGTTGGTTGTGTCTGTTTGGTTTTCAGTGATAATTTATTTATGGTGTTATTTGACACCTATTGATATGACAAATTAAGATTTCTGATCCAACAAGGAACAATTTTTTCTGTCTGTGGATAGTCATGAATTTTTTTTAATGAAATATGAAATAAAACACAGTGCATAAATATACTTTGATTTGATTTGCAGAGTTGTGATAAATTTTAATTTGGGCTAATCAAATGAAATATTGGATCGCAAAAGGTGTCATTTGACTAACAAATTCTGATGCAATACCTCTTAAATTGGACCTTATACTTTGGCTATCTACATGAAGGATCAGTCAAATCTAAAAACTGATTAATATAAATAACCAACTTTCATGCAAATGGCTTGAAATGGATAACAGCAGTAAGCCAACTTGCAGACACATTTTTGAAGACAATTGAAATCTTACATATATCAAATCAAATAGAAGGTAGCGAAGATGGTAGAATGAAAGCAACTCACTTAAAAATGTTTTTATTTTTTAGAAATATAATAGATGTGTTATAAGCCGTGTAAATAACAAACAATAAATCTATAAAAATTCAATGAGATATTAATTAAAATATTTATCATAATATATAAAAAAATTAATATGCATAATTAACAGAAATGTAAAATTATAATTAATCTTTTTCCACAATTTAGGAGACACATTTTGAAACCAGTTGATCAACAATATTTCATTCAGAAAAATTTCTAATCGTTCATTCGTCTTGTCAAACTTGTTACTTGTCTACATATATTTAAGACAGACTATCAAGTGTATTGTACTCATGTCTGTGTACTTTATGTAAATTGAGATATCAACTTCAAAATAGTTGGCACACGGGCACATATAATCCCTGAGATTTGTTTTCACAGAGGACTTTTTAAGTAAAATTTGTGATATTTGACAAAAATAATTCTGAGGAAATTGTGTTAAATTTAATAAACTTCGCAAATTTATCGAAGCAAATAACTGCCTTCAGTACTGTTTTGAAGCTCACATAAAAATAGTCAGTTAAATTTGATGACAACATAAGTGGAAGGATAGTATGTATGTATTAAGATCATGTTTTGCTTGTCATGTTTAAAAATATAAATTGCACCCTTAGTATACTCTCCTGAAAAATCGTTAAATTAAAAAAAAAATTATCTAAAATCTTATATATTTAATTAAATAAAATAAAGTTTTATGATTACCTTGAATTATGTATATCAATTCCACAAAAAAATATTATTGAAAGATAAATGCACTTATTATTTGATAAAAAATGTCCGTAAGTAATTTGGATATTAATAACAGAATATAAAATATATGAAAAATAACATTTGGGATACATCCCTCCTAGCTTTTACCATATTATAACATTATTTAATTATTTAAGTTACTCTTTTCAGATTGAGACAACAGTCCTGTGACATTTTTATCAGCCCAAAAGAAAAAATAAACTGATTCCATGTTCTTATGAATTGCTAGAACATAGAGACAGTACTTCAATGAAAATTGTAACAAACCACGACATGAAAACAACATAGTATAAAAATGGCAGTGTCTTCAACAACTGTATCAGACCAGTTACTATATTAATGTATTATATGTGTAAAAGCAGGAACATGATTAAAAAAAGATTTGTAAAAGGTGAATTCACAAAATCAATTATTTACGTATCTTCGAGACATAGTCCCTGATATATATTTAATTCCACATACGCTTTTGTCTCATGTTTGAAACTGCTTTGACAACTTCAAACCTTTTAAGTGGCCGTGATAAGTCAAAGCTTAAAGTCTTACAATTTAACTTTGAATTATCCACAAGCTAAAAAGCAGCTTACTCTTGTCCTAGGACTTATACTTGTTAACAACCCATTTAAAATGTGAAAGTATATAGAATAAAATTGCATACTAAGTAAACATATTGATATTTTTTGATCGCAATACTTAGAGTTGAGTACCCTTTATGAGTATAATCACCATTTACAGTTAATAGTTGTCCAGAATATCTTTGATTGTACAGCTGATATATGGTCTTGTAACACTTGTAGTAGCTCTTGTACGTCAGAGATGTTTTCATCTATGACTAAGTTTTCTGTGAAATAATAAATTCATAGTTTCATTAGTTGTTCAATCAGAAACATTTGTTAAGAGTTCCTTGTTTTTCTTCACGAATTCTATGTTAAGCAATAAATGTGAGATAGGACAGACTTCAAATTCATACATTCATTAGTTCACTAAAATGCACAACTGGGGACATTTAAATAAGGACAATGGTAAGACTTGTAATCTGCATCTTAATTTAGTGGTGTTAGATATGTCAATTTATATTTTTATTGTGAAAGAATAAGATATATAAGATTACGAAACTTACTAGAGTGTGTATTTGTATCTGTAAAACTTTCACAATCTTCACAATCATCTATTCTTTCAGTTCCAAATAATTTTCTACAGAAAAAACAATTACATCGCTTATTGAATCAGGTAATGGTTCTTAATCCTTGGAACCACAAATGCACACAAAAATCTATTTACAGGACAAAGTAATCCAGTTTTGTGATTATGTAGATAAAACCCTATAATTACAGCCAATGCTGAGTTGTTAACGTGTATTAAAATCGGGTTCTTCAGATAAGACATCTTGACACTGATGCTCACATGAGTATTTATCAAGGAAGAGTGAGGAATAGAGATAGAAGAAGGTAGAGTAAAAGACATACATTTACTCATAAACTTACTTGAGACAGTCACTTTTATTTTGTTTACAAACAATGTTGATCATAATAAAATATTGGATATCCTTTTCCTCTCTATCAGTAGGTATAAACCCCAGAGAATAGGCACTTACTACATGTTTATTCTGAAATTATATCATGAAATATATAACAACAATAGTCAAAACTGAAACGCATAACAGAAATATCTAGATAGACAGCACAATCTACCAATCAAATTACAGATTCAGTTCTATACAGTGTGAATTGTATAAAGAAGCCAAAAAGCAGGAAGAAAACGATTTTGTCATTCAGTTATGAATGACAATCAGAAAGAATGTTAGATTAGTAGCCTACATTAGTATTTAGTACATATAAACTGAAAAAATTAGCAAACCTCTTCAATCATATCCTTCCAACTTTTCTTTTCTAAACAAAATAATATAAAACATAACATTATAACCAATAACAAAGTTATTCAAATGAAGTTGGACAAGTAGAACTTGTGAGACATGAGAATCTTTGAAAAACACAAGATTTTCAAAATCAGGAGATCTTCCCATGAAAAAGGAAGATTTTTTCTTTGTCTAAAATATATTGTGTGTTTCAGAGATGCTATCCCCCCTCCCATCCCCTGAAAACAGCCTCTTATCTGTTCTGATCTGTTATGATCTTGAGTACTTACCATTAATAACTTTAGCCCAAGGAATATCAGCTGTTTTTAGAATATCCAATATGGCAGCCACAACTGTTTCTGCTCCTCGAATTCTAACAGGTAATAAGGCATAAGCTAAAAATATTGTGTTTTGATTCAAAGAATGTTAATAAGAGAAAAATATAAGCATAAAAATACCAGTTTCCATGGCCATTTTTTTTCAAAACTATTTAGTTGTCTATCTATCGCTGTTAACTCCACCCTAGTTTATATCTATCAGATCTCTTTATTTGTGACTTTTGCAGGTGCTTTACATAGGAGTTTTTAGGAAATTCTTTACTCTTAATACAAATCCAAATCCAAAGCAATTTGATCAAAGTTGCATAAATGCAGTATCACTGTCAGTTTAGAAGATATGAAAAATAATTTTTAAATTATAAATCTTACCAGTCATAGGTAAAACAATAGAATAAGGGTAGGTCTTGTTTAGTTTAGAGCCTGTTGAAAAAATACACTCTATTAGCTACTTAAACATAAATATGTCAGCTAGAAAATATAATAATGTTTTAATAAGAAATCTAATAGACCCAAGTAAAGCACAATCATATTTTCAGACTAGTTCCTATAAACATTTAGGACGCCTTTAGTTGGATTGGACAAAAATCAATTCACTTTAGTCTTTAAGCACCAACCTTCTCTAACTCTAAATGCTGGTTGTCTGGTAAAAGCTGGTTTCTGAGATTGAATTCCAGGACTGACAGGATCATTTTTCCCTCTGTGGAATACTTTCTTAGCCCTGAAACAAATTTAAATCATTATTTGTACTTTGTAAGCTACACAATCTCTGTAAAGTCTTTCTGTCTCTGTACATTTATTTGTCCATTTAATAAATAAATAAATAAATGAAATAATGGGGAAGATTTTCACATGCCATGGGATTCACATGCCAATTGAGATTAGAATTCGATGTAACCAAGCAACTGTCATGTAAAGTTTGCAATGTTCTAACTGCCTGTGCTACAGATTGAACTTGCTTTTATATTTGACACGAAACTGAACTTACTCATCCATATTTGGAATAAATCCAGTTGCTTTCATTCTTCTTCCTGTCTTCTGGTCTACTTTACAAACTTTCCAAAACTCAGCATCATGGTTACCTTCAACATAAATTACCTCCCCATATGTTAAGGGGAGACAATTTGTGCTTTTTATCACTGGATCTGTATTGGTGACATTACTTCTGCAATATCAAATTTCCATCCAATTCTAATTTCTTCTATTTTATTATCAAATATGTAACTGTATATAATGGTACTTTTTAATGGATTCTATAATATTGTTTATATTAACTGGATGTTCAGAGTATTTTATCAATTTATTCACTTCATCTTGTCTCTTTCTCAGTTCCATGTCTGAGTACAAGCATTTATTATATCATCAATGTGTCTCCAAATAAAGTATTTAAACCGAATGTAGTTGATGTAACAATATTATTTGCTTCATCTCATTGATCAATCGTGTAGCAAACTGAGAATGACATAAAAATCAATCATTATCTTACCTAATATAGAATCCTCCTTGGTCTAACATTTCTTTTCTTGTTATAGGCCCTATAATTATATATTA